TAAGGGCTTTTGGAATCTCTGGGGATGTGACCCCGTCTTCTGCAAGGCGATTGTAGAGCTCCAACTGAAGCTGCACTGGCGTGCACCCGGTTAGGGCCATCACTTGGCTTTCCGAAAGGAACGCAAACTCCACATACGACACGGAGCCAAGCTCTTGGACTGCTTCAACCTGTTCTGGCACAGCAAACCTCGGCAAGGATTCCGGGTCTAACTTCTCGTAAGCCTTGGCGCAAAGATCCACCTCATTGTTGAAGGTGGGGTCTGTCTTTGCCAGGTAAAGAAGCGAACCTTCTTCCCACGTCTTGCTCATTCCTTTCTCGATTGCGGTCACACAGACCAAGCAACCGGTCATGCGCTTCAAGTTCTCGTAGGACCAGGCCACTGTCTTGTCGTCCTTGCATAGATTCACAAAAAATTATAGAAAACTCTGAGGCTCTGGGACTCTAAGACATCAGGGCCTCAGAAAACAGTCACAGCTGAAGCCCACGCAATGGTGAGCTTCATGGGAGTCACAGCAAACAAGGTGAATAACATCGCCGAGCAACAGATCGACGCTTGCAGCGTAGGCACACAAGCAACTCCTTCGCACGCCTGGGCTCCTGCCTTTGGCGTTTGCTGCTAACAGGCAAGTCCGTATCTGAGTGTCGGCCATCATGATGGAGATCTTCTTGTTTCACGGAGGTTGCCCGAACTCCGGTGGCACTTGACGCAGATCCCCGAGCACTCTTGGAAGGGGGTCTCGTGCTCATCTCATCTTCGTCTGGCTCTTCCTTCTTGACTCTGCTGCTGTCTGACTTGGGCACTGCCTGACACATGTGGAACGACCAGCCAAAAAAGGGTACCAAACATGTAGCTTAGTTGCACGTGTTCTCATCTGAGATTGAGTCATGAATCAGTATTTGAGGCACATGTCACAGACAATGGCCTGTTTGCGCTTGGCCGGAGGCTGGCCTTTCGGCGCCATGTCGCGCACAAGGTCACTGTACAATTCCACCACACACTGAATGCAGTGGAAGTGCTCGACTAGCGGCTACACGGTAATCAATCCGGATTCAAGGCCAATTGCAGCATGCAACAGTCCACTGGGATTGCGCGCTGCGTCCACTTGTAGGTCGTGCTACTAGCCTTACTGCTGATGGAGGAAATCTTGCACCGAAGGCCTATGCCCTATGCCAATGCCCTATGTCACGATGATAATAACAATAGTTTGAAGGCATTAATTGGTGCAAAATTTCCTGCATCAACGGCAAGTCCTTATCCAGAAGAATTGGCAACATTTTCGTCGGCCTCACAAGCCTCAGGGGAAGTAACATGTTGTAAACAGGCGCAGCACGCCGGTATGGTCACTCAGCAGGGGCCACGCTACCAAGGAGCCTATGTCCCCATGTTCCTATGTTGCTTAGCTGAGCCATTTAGCTGAGCACTGTGCTTAGGAGCATGATGGAACCTTTGAAAATAACAGGCCACCTCTCGCCTGGAGTAAATCCGGTTGGCGGTGCGTGCACGTCTCTGCCAAGCTAGCAGCTAGCAGCTAGAGCTGTACACGGTTTGTTTGGGCTTGCGATGCTTGCGGCAGCTAGGAGTTGAGACCATTTAGTCCCGTAATCCTGGTGTCGTTTTTGAAGCCTGCATTTGTCTGGCCCTAAATGGCCCTAAATCCCAAAGCACTTTACAACAAAAGCCCAAACCGAAAACAGTCTAAGTCCAAGAAGCGAAAAGCGACAGACAACTTTTGAGGGTGGAATTCCATGCCACATGTTCTTTTAAGTCCTCACTCAACAACACTCAACACTTCAATACACAGTACATCATATGCAACAGCCGCCACAAGCACGGGTGACACAGCACACTGAGCCAGTAGGTCTTTTTGTGGTGGCCGGCAAAAGAAAAGGACTAATGACTAGCTGCTTGTACTTGTGGGTGGTGCTTCAGAGTCAGTGAGGAGCAAATACACTTGTCATTATAAAACTACTTACTTACATACGGGAAAATTATGATCATCTATGGCCGTAGAATTGGAAACATTCTCTTCCTCACTGCCTCTGAAACACCATCATTGAACAGTTGCTTCCTGGATTCCATCACTATAATCACGATAATGTATTATTGCTTCAAGATTTGCAGGGTTCACCGAGCGCGGGCCACAAAGACTATGGCAGCAAAGATGCACGGGCCTTGCTTTCGGGCATCACTTGCAGTGTGCATTCAGTAATGAAGTGGGCACCCATTCCCCTGACCCATCCTCTTTGCCTGGTGATGGGTCAATAGACTATTGGTCTGATTCTAGCTAGCGCTAGAAGCCTTTTTTTGATACTACCCTAGGCCGTACGTAAGCTCTATTTCCTGATTGCGTGTGGCTTAGAGGGATCGGAGCCTGTACAGTCACTCCAAACTGACTACCAAAGTAGCGTGCAAGTGGCGCACTGCACAACGTGTGTGGGGATGGATGCTGTGATTCAAGACCCTTTATCAATAGCTAACGAGATCTCAACGGACCACTCAGGATTCTAGGCTACCACTACCCAAGGTAGGTTATCCTGATGATGCCATACTTCATGTGCTATGCTAGGCCAAGCTTGAGATGGGTTAGGGCTTGAAGGGGCTCCCGAAAGATCAGTAGATGATAATATCTCCACCTGTAATTTCACGGAATGACAAGACTGTGACTGTGACCCAGTATGGCCCAGCATGGCGTATGAAGATGTCCCCGGGTCCAGGGAGTTCTGGCACGAAATCAACTCAATTACTTCTGCCCCAATAACCCCAGTAATCTGCTGTTGTTTTATTGGTGTATTACAAGCCAGAAGCTCCCTGTCCCTTGCAAGTTAGTGCCAGCACGCCGCTTCACAAGAAACTTCGAAAATACGCCGCACAGGCAGCTGTGCCACTGTGCATTGGTTGTGGGACACGCCACAGCATGTGGCACCATCAGCAAAAGCCAAACTGTGGATAAACTCAGATAGACCCCCTGCAATGCACATAGGTGGCTGACATGACAGGCCCGGTATTTCCTTAACCCTAAGGCCCTGACCCGAAGAGTGCCACCCACAATGGTATAAGTTGAGTACAAGGTACAAGGATACGAATCGGTGTTTTCGAATATATAAAGGCTACCTGGCCCATATTAGTCACTATTAGTCTCTCGGCTAAGCCGGCTAAGCATGAGCAACATTTTTATTTGTGTGCCAAAATCATTATGAATACCTACTCATTGGGTGCAAACGCATGTGGGCTGCTCTCAGAAAGCTTGCAGCTAACAACTGTGTTAGGCTATTCTAGGGATTCTAGGGGTCCCCTTGTTAAATTGAGCAAATAGCAGTCGATAATTCAAGCTGCATTGGAAACAGGAAATAGAATTACTATTAAGCTGCTACTAGCTGAAAGTTAGACGACTGATTCTGTCATACACTGAACCTTAATGAGCCTTAATGCCCTCGACGCTATCTAAACCCTAGAGTAAACTATATACCCTAAGCGCTAGACCTTAAGCCCTAAACCTAAGCCCTAGGCCCTAAGCCCTAAGCGTACGCAACTCTCAAGCCAGAAGCTCTTGGCATGGCCTATCCCATTATTCATTATGGCCTACGTCGCTATTGCCTGGCGCACACACAAACGAGCAGGCAGGCTGCCGATTTCACGGTGATCCTATGCATACGTTGCGCGGGATCTCAAGATCAAAGGTCTCGATGAGCGCGAGGCCCAAGCCCCCCCACTTCAAATTCATGATACCGCATCACGTGTAGGGACCAGAGCAGGGTCCCTACGGGCGGTAGCGACACGGAATTGCCGATCATTGTTTTGAGGTCACGTGGGTTCAAATCCCGCGGTATTCTGACATTGCCGGGGAACCCCAACATGAGGAGCATCTCCCAAGGGAGTACTATTCGGTCGTGGCCGAAGTGGTAGAGCTCCGTGGATGTAGTAAACGTGCGATTTTGGCCTTCTGCGCCAGTCCAGCACCGCCGGCTGTGACTCTGGGAAATGTCAATAAAAAAGCTGCCGAACCGCGAGCTTGTGTGGCCATGTCTGCTGCCTCCTTGCGAATTCAATCGCGTACAGGCCGCGATGTCCAACAAGTCCAGGATTCTGGGCGTGCGCGGCAGCCCTTCAGCCACAAAAGCTTCCCTCGATGTCCATGGGCGAAAGGTCTGCGATACACCCAGCAGGCACCGCAGTTCTGCAGACTGCTGCTTCCATTTCCTAGTGTCTTCCTGACAGTCAACTCGTCGTCTCTCGGGCTTCTGCGTAGCCTGGTTGCTGGTGAAGATTCCCCCACCGTGTGCATGGGTTGCAGGGCGCCCGCCCTAAATCACTATACTAACTATACAAAGAACGAAACAGGTGAGATGACAAAGTGACAGACTTTTGACATTTATTGGTGCACAGAACTTGTTGGACAGAGTTCATCTAATCTAACCTAAACATCAGTACATGGCCACACCAATATATGGACGTGTGTTGGCTCAAGTCACATGATTTGCGAAGTACGTTCTTCTTCGGAATTTTCTTTTTCGGAGGAGGGCGGCCAGGCCCCTCCCACCTACAATCCACCTTTGGGCCCGGGCCTACCCAGAATCACCTAAAATTCTACCTTTTTGAAAGCCCCAAATCCACCTTTTTTCTACCTTCATTTTACCTTTTTTCTTCTTCATTCTACCTTTTCTATCTCCCACTCTACCTTTTTTCCGTGCTATTCTACCTTTCTTCTACCTTTCTTCCACCTTTATTCTACCTTTATTTTACCTTCTACAAAGCCACAGGTTTAGGGGACCTGTCAAGGTTTTCCTGATGTAAAAGGTGGAGTTCGGGTGGGGCAGAGGTGGATCTTGGGACCTAGGAGCTGCCAAGTACCTTCCTAGAGACTTGTAGGAACCTTCCATAGGGGGTCCCTAGGGGCCTCTTCTAAGAACTCTTAGGAATTGCTAGGACCTTTGCCGACCTTGGTTCTATACCTTTCTTCTACCTTTCTTCTACCTTTTATAGTAGGAAAGGTGGAAGTGGTCCCTCAGGAGTTGCCAAGTACCTTCCTAGAGACTCCTAGGAACCTTCCATAAAGGTCCCTAGAAGCCTTTTCTAGGAATTTTTGGGAATTGCTAGGACCTTTGCCTACCTTGGTTCTACCTTTCTTCTACCTTTGTTCTAGCTTTGTTCTACCTTTTATAGTAGGAAAGGTGGAAATGGTCCCTCAGGAGCTGCCAAGTACCTTTCTAAAGACTTGTAGGAACCTTCCATAGAGGGCCCCTGGGAGGTCCCTAGGAGCCTCTTCTAGGAGCTCTTTCTTGGGAATTGCTAGGACCTTTGCCTACCTTGGTTCTACCTTTCTTCTACCTTTCTTCTACCTTTGTTCTACCTTTGTTCTACCTTTTATAGTAGGAAAGGTGGAAATGGTCCCTT